GAGTGCATAATGAGAGAGGAACTGGTGAAGGTGGAAGGCCAACACAGAAAAAAATTAATGAGAAAAAGTGCAACATTTTCTTCCTGTAACACACTCTGTCAACATGTAGACTATAGCATAATTATGAATGTATATTTATATCACTATGAATTACAGAAATAGTATACAGGAACAATTTTTGTATTATCTGACTCTTGTGGGTAGATCATGTGACTTCCTTTACGTATATTTATCTGTGCCTGTGTTTTATGGTTCAAATAGATAGAAACCACCTCATTTTTTCAGTAATAAGTAGTACTGTATGGTGTATACATGGGTGCTTTAAAACACTGTATGACTTTTTGAATTATGAGTTCATAAAATAGTAATCTAATGAAACCAGTTTGAAAATGGGGGAGGGCAGGGCAGAGTGTTGTTCCAGTATTATCACAAATGACTTGACCTTTTTTGTATTGATCACTCTATGCTTGCATTTACCCACTCAAAAATATCTCAGCAAGCATGCCCTTAAAGAAAACTATTTACCTGTTACACTTTCAAAATATACACAAATAGTCAAATAAATGAAAATAAACCTTATTTATTCTCACTTAGTATATATGGTTATTTATGTTAGAAGCAAGACACTGTTTGCAAGACGACTGAGGAATATTTTAAAATGTATCTAGTTATCCTTACAACAGTCCTTGTAGAAAGCTCCCTCTGAAATATTTTGAGCTCCTCAAATATAACAAAAATAATAAAATAAAATGAATATAAATTCAGACTTTTATTACAGTCAACATAAATGATAAAATTACATACTTTACTTTTCTTAAAATATAATTTCCAAACATTTTAAAATCACAGCTGATGCTATAAAATTAATCCTGGACTTTCAAATGTTTTAAGCATTTAAAACAATACAAAAATATCTGGAAAAGAGGACAAAGCAAGACTGGACATGGAAACAATTAACCTTTGAGCATTTAAATTCAGACATTAGGAAACAATTACTACTGCCGGAGCTGACTTTAAAACATACCCCATTTGAGCTATTGTGCACATGTCTAAATAGGATTTGGCAGTTGGAAGAAAGATGTATTGATTCCTGTTTGGAGGATTGCTGTAGATTTGCTGCTTGGACAGGATTTCAAACTGGATTTGAGTCTCAAAGAACAAACTGAACCCTGGAATCCTTTCCTGGCATTGCAGCCCCTAAAGTGACAAGTATAATAAGCCAGGGCTAAGGAAGGCTTTAAACTTCATGTGGAACAGCTGCTGTGTGCTGTTGCAGAAGCTCAAAGGGAAAAATGCTTTGGGGGAGAAAAATTAGCTGTTAATTAGTTCACAGACACCCAATTAGTTTCTATAAACAACAGCACATATTACTCTGAATATGTACCTAGAAGAATCGTTTACTCCCCAGTTCATTGGACTTTGCTTTCATGGCCTCATCCAGTGAGAACATAAGAATCTAGAATATTTAAAGACACAGGTTAGATAGTGTGATGTATCAGGTTAGAAACTGCTGTCTACCCAGGCCTCACAGATTATGTGAAATTTTGCTTTGATTACTGTAAATAACATATCCCAAGTCGAGGAGCACTTGACTTCTGAAAAAGAAAATCTAAACACAAAAGAACAAGACTGGAAAGACAATACGTATTTTTATGACATTTATTTTTAAGATCCAGGAAACATCTTAAGAAACAAGGAAATGGTGGACAAATTAATTCGATAGAATCATAGAATTGAAATGTCCTTTTGGAATCTATCTTCCTCATTCTAGGGATGAGGCCACTCAGCTGCTTAGATACCAGAACCAAAATTTCTAACATCTCAGTGTGCCTTTCCCTTCTTCAGTCAGAGTTAGCATAGGAAGATACAGTCACAGGATTGACTCAGAATCCAGTGAAAAGCCAGGGCAGCTTGGAAATTGGAAATTGCAGACCATCCACCAGGAGCTAGCTAGTGTGACCTCAGACTTAATAGTGCAGTGTGACCTCTGCTTTGACTTCCCTCAAGGTGTCCAGCCCTCAAATTCTTGCTTTGAGAGACAGTGGGGGAAATTCATATCAACAATCTTAAGAAAAATAACATTTATCAACAATTGGTTGAGCTACTTATATGGAGGCCACCGAGTTAGGCTAAGAGGCATCAGTGGCTGTCTGCTCAGCTCAGCATCCCACTAACCTACCAGCTGTGTCTCATGGAAACCTCTCCCTGCATCTGCCGCATTTCCAGAAGGGCTTCAGGAAGCATTGGATAAGTCCCCATGACCCACGCCAGATCAAGCAAGCTTTTATGGGAAAACTGTCCCCCTCTCTCTCAGGAACTCCCACTAATTGCTTACCAAATGGTAGACTTAAGTATGGGATGGTAGAACCTGTCTGTTTGCATATACCCAGCTCAACTCCCAGTTATTACGAATGACGTTGTTTTCTTAGGTGAAACACAGAGTGGCTTTTAAAACCTATTTTCCTTATAGCATGTTTTGGGAAAGGACTGACACTCCATAAATTCTGGGCAGGATTAAAAAGTTTCATTTAATGCATTTGTTAGGATGAGGGACAAAGAGTCAAAGGCAGAGTGAGAGAGGGAGTGGTGTGGGGCCTGAGAGAAAGTGGTTGCTGTGTGGCCATAAGGGAACAGGGAGTGTAAAAAGCTTCTTGCACACATCACCTCATCTATAAAACCCAGAACCACTTGGCATCTCGCTAAGTAACAAATGGATCTAAGGTCTGGAGAGAAGGGTTGCTGGCAGGAAATAGTCCCCAGGGCTATGTGCATTTCAGACTGTGCGTTTCCCCACAATGCATATATCATTGATTACAGAGCTCCGCTCACATATCTTTTCTATCTAAGGACTAAATATTGCAGGGTCTGGTTTGTCTCATAATCATAATTTCTGGGGGTAAGAGAATAAATCTGGGTAGTTGAGATAAAGAGAAACTGTCAATTTTTCTTTTGTGGTTCAGGGAAGAGAAAAGAGGTGTGAAAAAAAATATTAAGATGAACAAGATAGAGGAGAGAGAGTAGAGACCTTCAACTTTGGGAAAGTTACACTGCTCTCAACTTCCAGGACTTTTGTTTTAAATGAAAACCTCTCTTCTATACAATTTTAAATTGACTTGCAGGTTTGAACCCCACCCCCACCCCCATGTCTGAAACCTGCTATAAGCATGTACCTCACATACAACAGAGGACAAAGCGAGATCCCTACAAACTGTAGCTGTGTTGCTTTATTATCCGAAATCGATTTCCACCAGAGCACCAAATTCACTGATGAGCTAATAAATCTGTGGGAAGAAGGGACCCTTAGTGGATGGTATTGACACAAAAACCTAAGTTAAATTTTAAACGTCTGGTTTGTCCCAGCTGAACCTGGTGCTATGCTTTGTTTCTTCCTTTGAACCATGGAGGCAGCAGATTGACTTGGTGTCACAGAAACTGTCTACAAAACAGGACATCTCTACAAATTAAGATGTCTCCATTTCCTGTTTTATCCATCAGCAAAAGTAAAGTGCCTTCCATGACTCACACTGACACCTGTTGACTATCTGCTGACCTTTTCCCTCCCCAGATACCAAAAAAGTAAACAAGCAAACCCTTACCTGTTAAAAAGATAGAAACAACAGGCAAAACTTCTAAATCCGTTTTTCCCCCCAAGAAGCCTGATACCATTAACATTAAAAAAAAAATAAAATAAAATAAAAAATAAAACCATCCTAGGTTGTAATTTCTTGCAAGATTTACTTTGACAGTGAAGTGGACACTGAATCGTGGACAGAATGTTAAAGGGCACTCAAACCTTTTGATCCCAGTCTTTTAAGTCATTCACATTGTTTACAGTAGTTGTGCTTCTTCCTGAGTAAATGGGAAACGTTATTGTTATTTAATTTTAGTCAGTCTTATAGCTGCTGTTGTGAAGTATATGAAATTTTAATTGTTATAGTATCTTAGTGGAACCTTAGTATTCTTGAGAATATTTTGAATCTTTCCCCAGGCATAAAAATAAACTGCTCAAAACCTTTTGTTAAAGTTTGAGATTGAAGCTATTGTGTCCTTTGGTTATTTTCATAGGCAGAGTTTTCTAGGCTCTTCTTTCCAACACTGTTCGATTCCTGAGCCCTGAACGTGCGACGACAATCTGTAGCTCTACTCCTGCCCCATCTTCCCAGTTTTGATTGTAATACCCATCTCGGTCATTCAGGACCTCGGCTAACTCCTCTGAATCCTTCGCCTGGCCTGGGGCTTACTACCCTAAATTATAAAGAGCAGGTGGGTCTCTCTTTTAATTTTGCCCTTTCGCTGGAAAATGTGATATGGCAAAGACAATAATATATCTTATGTTTTAGTAACAATGGTTTACCCCAGGGAGTATTAGCGTCACTGTGTACTTTAGCAGCTACTTTCCCTCACATTATATATATACACACACATATATGTATGTGTATATATATATATGTGTGTATGTATGTGTATATATATATGTGTGTGTGTGTGTATGTATACACACACACACACACACACACACACACACACACATATATAATTTTTGTCTCCCCCCCCCCAGCAGCACCCCAACGTCGCCTCGCTGACGTTGATCAGGGGAGAGAGAACTCCCCCAAAGGCTGGCTAAGCCGTCTCTTCCTTTCATCAGCGGTGTAACCCTGTGCTCCCGCCGGAGCCTGGCACGGAAGTGTAATCTTCCCGCAGGGGCCCTCCTGTCGTCTTGCCTACCTAAGAGCGGAGACTAAATGAAATATAAAATATTAAATATGAGAGAAAACAAAGGATGCTGCCTCCAGGATGGCTCCTGTGCCTGGGGCTTGGCTATATGTCTCACTCATTTCTCGGCCTCTCCACCTCGTCCCCGCCCTTGCCCCTCCATGGGATCCGTGAGTTGAATCGCAGCTCTCCAAGGAGAATTCCCATGGCCGGGAACCAGATCCCCTCACCGTCGCCAGATCCCCTCTGCCAGGGAGCGCAGAATGACCACCAAGAGGCCGGGAACAAACCACTTAAATATTGCATTTATTAAGGAAATGTTAAATAAGAAAAAAAAAAAAGTCAAAACGGTGTCACGGATGTCAAGAGCACTTTTGTGGCGTAAATCGTGCAGTCACGAGCTACGAGTTCTATTCTGGGTCTTTGTCCCGGAGCGCTAGCCCCCGAGAAAGACCCAGCTGAAAATGCACTAAAAGAAACAACTCACCCCGTTCACATTCGCAGGCTCCCCTCCCCCCACCCCTTCTCCTACGTCGACAAAACTCTAACCCCCAGGCAGGCAAACAGGCCACTAAGGCAGAAAAGGGACTTATCAAATATTTGTATTCAAGCAAACAAACACAAAATCCCTTAAAATGTCACGTTACAATCAATCAAAGGTATTTAGCTCCTCTCCCCGCCAGGGCTGGGGAGAGCGGGAGAGAGTGGGTGCCAGTCCGGACGCGGATTTGTGTGTCCCCATTAGGTCTGCTAAGTGGCATATAAACAGGTCACTTTTCCGGTCACCAGGAAATCGGTGCCGATGGGTCTCTCCCCTGCCCGCCCTCTCCACCTGCCCCCAGCGCTTGGCCCACCTGCAGGTGGAGAAGGGCCGTGCCCCGTCGGTCTCCCCGCGTCCCACGCAAGCAGCAGTTTCTAAAGTTCTGCGCCCTAATAGCCCTCTCCTTGCCACTTGCTGCTGAGAGCAGAAGTCAGGGCGCTCTCCTACAGTCAGGTACGAGGAGTTGCAGAGGGCGAGCGAGAAACGGGTCGCTTCATCCCAAAGGCAGAAGTCTAGAGACATCATTGACTCCGACAGGTTTGCTTCGCCCAGTCTCCAATGGTGAGGGGCACAGCCGGGCTGGAGAAGTGGGGAGACGTGGGGGCGGCTGCCGCAGGGACCCTCGGGCAGGTCAGTAGGGCCCCACGACCACCGCCTCCACCTCCTTAGACGGTCTCCGGTCCTTCACCAGGAAGTTGATCATGCCCTCGGACTTGATGAGCAGGTTGCAGCCGAGGAAGAAGATGCCGAAAACCACGGTGAGCGAGAGCACGCACATGACGGCGATCTGCACCACGCGCATGATGTACAGGCTGCGCTCGTCCGGGCCGCCCTCGGCGAAGCCGTCGTCTGTCACCACGGACGCCTGGGTGCAGCAGCGCACGGCGCGCTCCAGCGCCTCGCTGCTGTTGGCCAGGAACAGGCCCGCCACGTCGGTCTGGTTGCCCAGCGCCGGATTCATCGCGGGAGCGGGCGGGCGCCCCGGGAGGCGCGGGTCCGAGGGGTGGAAAGGCGGTGGCACCGGAGAAACAGGTGCCGGGCTGAGCCCTCACTTGCAAGACTTGCGCGCGCGGGCTCCTTTCTCTCTCCTTTCGAAAGACCTCAGGCCGTGGGAGTTTCCCAGGAGCCTCTCCGACGCGCGCTGCAGCCCGACTGGTCTGCGCCCTCCGTTCCTGCCCGGGCGGTGCTCGTTCCCGGCGCTCGCTCGACTGGGGGCTGTTGCAACTTGGCGGGGCTGGGCCAGCGGGGCGGTGGGAGGTGCGGGCGGCAGCGGCGGCGGCGGGAGGCTGCTCTGGGAGAACAGCGGCCCCTACCGGCCGCGCCGCCGCTCTGCGTGCGGTGCCGTTGAGCGGTGCGCGAGCAAAAGGGCGAAACTCGTCTTGCTTTTCTAGCTTCGCCTCTTCTGCAACTCCAAAGATCAGGCAGAGGAACCTGTCCTCTTCTGGCTTGATCGAAGATTAAAGAGTTTGTGGGGGAAGCGTGAGACCAGATGAAAGTTTCAGAGGAACTGGGTCACACCAGCTCTGTGTCCTTTACCTGCCGCCCATCTCGTCTCTGGGCTGATGGCAAGTGGCGATGAATTGCAGGTGCCGGATGGTGCTCGCGAAAACTCCGGCCAGCCGCCCGTGCCTGACTCCGTCTCGCCGGCGACTGATTTCTTGGGGGGGGGGGGGGGGCGGAGATCTGGGAGTATTTTCTAAAAGTCAATAAATTTAGAAAGAAACAAGGCCAGGGAAGAAGGAAGGAAGGAAAGAGGGAGGGAAGGATGAAGGAGGGAGAGAGAGGAAAGTAAGAACTTCGCCCCACTCCTCTTGACAAAAGCGATCGGGAGACAGATTGAGGCAGGTTTCACAGTGATTTCTGAGGCCAAGGAAAGGGGGTTAGAGGAAGGAGGTGATCTTTCGTGGCCCTTGTTTGGAGGTGGTTACCAGGAGCAGGGTCACCTCTCTGGTAAGGGAGGTGGACAGAGTGACCACTTGCTTGTAATTTGAATTGCAGATGAGTTTTTGGATGTACTTCCAGCGTTTTTGTCTGTTGGCAGTAAATCAGTTGCTTAAGGGAATTGCTCATCCACATCCGTCACCTAGCATGAACGCTGGCAACTGCTGGAAGCCCTCTCCATTTTCCATAAGGGGATGCATTTCACTCTGTCATTTTAAACCAAACTGCAGATGTTCTAGGGTGATGATCGAGGCTTCAGACCATTAAGATTTTGCTGTTGGTTTCAGTGAAATTTTATAAAACTGTCAGATTAAGTTTCTTATGCTCCAGAAGAATATTTCAGATTTATTCTCTTTTCTTTCTTTCTTCTCCCCCCAATTTTTTACTTTCATTTGTAACATCTGGAAACCAATAAACTGAAGACTAGTCCAAACTTTTGATTAAATACATTTATTAAGTTTCTATTAAAACATAGTAGCTGTCTTGCCATTTTCCACATTACTCTTAACTTCACCCTGGATGTTTGCTAAATCCTCTTATTTGTATCTCCCTAAACACCGTTTATTCAATGTTCAAGAGGTTTCCTTAAATGCTTTTGCACTACATTGTGACCACCATAGAACAGAATAAATTTCCTTTTAGTTTAGAGTTTTCAGTTTTTGGATGTATATTGTATATCAGCTTGAATAAGTTTGATCCATCTAGATAGCTATTGTTATGGGGGGGGGGGGGTCAGGGGGGGGGGGGGGTCAGTGAATTTTGATGGCTGAAAACCCAGCTTCTGTGCTTCATCAACAATTCACCTGGTTTATTGCTCTAGCTTCCCATGATTCAGTCTTTCCTGAAGAATGTCCCACCCCCAACAATATCTTCTTTGGACGAATTTATTAACTGATTGACTGGAAAGGATTTCTTTAAATCTCTCCATATAATTGGTCTATCTTAGTTAATTTGGATGATACTTAATAATAATAAAACAATGTATAAGGAGTCTTCAAAAAGCTCATGGAAATGAGTATTATGATAAAACTATGCATGGATTTCAAAAACTTTTTGCACCAAAATAAACTCATACTAACTTGTTATAACATGTCTGAACAGAACGTAGTTTGAGGCACTAATAAGCATAAGGCATCACTTTGAAAAAAGCCACTATCAGAGCAACATCAATTCTGCTAAAATTGAAGTAAGAACAAATATCATATTTATGTGAAACTTGGGTGGAAGAATGGTGAAATTGATGATGCTTTATGAAAAGTTTGTGAAGCCTGCAGTGGCAGACCATCCACATCAGTTTGTGAGGAAAAAATTCATCTTATTCTTGCTCTAATTGAAGAGGACCAACAATTAACAGCAAAAACAATAGCCCACACCATAGACATCTCAATTGCTTCAGCTTACATAATTCTTACTAAAAAAACTATAGTTGAGCAAACTTTTTACCTGATGGATGCCAAAACTTGCATTCAGATCAGCTGCAGACAAGAGCAGAGCTTTCAGTGGAAATTTTAAGCAAGTGGGATCAAGATCTGAAGCATCCCTTTAAAAAATTTTAATGAGATGAAACAGTGCCTGACCAGTACAGTCCTAAAGACAAAGCACAGTCAACGCCATGGCTATCAAGAGGTGGAAGTAGTCCAGTGAAAGCAAAAATGGACCTTTGGTCAAGAACAGAGGTCATGGCAACAGGGTTTTGGGATGCTCAGTCGTTTTGTTTGTTGACTTTACGGAGGGCCAAAGAATGATAACATCTGCTCATTACAAGGGCTTTTTGAGAAAGCCAAAGCTTTAGCAGAAAAATGCCCGGGAAAGCTTCACCAGACAGTCTTTCTAAACCATGACAATGCTCCTGCTCGTTCCTGTCATTAAACAAGTGCAATTTTGTGAGAGTTTTGATGAGAAATCATTAGGCATCCACCTTACATAACTGACTTGGTTCCTTATAACTTCTTTTTGTTTCTTAATCTTTAAAGGGCACTTATTTTTCCTTAATAATATAAAAAAGACTGCTTTGACTGAGTTAAATTACCAAGACCTCTAATTCTTTAGGGATGAACAAAATGGCTGGTAACATCATTTACAAAAGTGTCTTGAACTTGATGGAGCTTATGTCAAGAAATAAAGTTTATATGTTTCATTTTTATTTTTAAATTACCTTTTCACAAACTTTTTGAGATTTTTTTGTGAAAAATTAAAAAAAATTAAGACAATATAAAGCAATGCTAAATGAATGGTAGAGGCAACTAATAGGAATTCAGAAAAGCAAAAAAGTCAAAGAATACAGACTGAATTCCAGGAATGTTAACTTACACAGCATTGTGTGTTTAGTAGAAGTTGAGTGTGGATAAACAAAGAGGGACTAGCCCTTCTTTATGTGAAATAAACATATAGAGTTAGTGTAGTGGATTGAATTATGTCCCCCAAAACTCATTGAAGCTTGAATTGTGTCCCTTAAGTTTTATGTGTTAGAAACTTAGCCTCCACTGTCACTATTAAGAGGGTGGGAAATCTTATTATGGTAATTGAAAGGCGGAGCCCTGAAGATGTGATTGGACTGTAGGACCGTGCAGTAGTGGATGGATTAATAATGGTGGTCAGGGGCGTGGTTCTGAGGGCTTTAGAAGAGAGTGAATGAGGAGGTTAGTGTCTTGCTCTCTCTACTCTGTCTGTGCTCCACCATTTTCACAATGTGGTACCCTGTCATCATTGTCATCATCACCAAGGCCTTCACCAAATGTGTTCCCTGGACTTCGGACTTCCCAAGCCTCAGAAATTGTAAGCAATAAATTTCAGTTTCTCAATAAATCACCCAATTTCAGGTATTTTGTTATAAGCGACAGAAACAGACTAATACAGTTAGTTTTAGTACATTTGTAAGGAACAGCATGGCAGAAACTGAGTTACAAAAACAAGCTAAAAATGTTAGTTGAATCATTATCAGAATTTGAGTATATTTATTGCTACATACTATATTACTGTTTTAGACAGAAGTCAGTGTTAAAATGATCAAAACTAGGAGCCCAGTGGAGGTTTTATATTTAGTCAAACTTGTAGATATAGGAAGCACACTCTTAAAAGGCATAAGGTAACACTTTGTTTCTTTTCTTTTTTTTTTTACTTTAACTGTTAACCAGCACACAATTGCTGAGTAAGATGATAGTGGCTATTTCGCATCAGCTAGTTCAGATCTCTGGTTTTGCTGAACAAAACAGTGGTTTTATTTTCTTTATTCCCTTTCACCCCTTGCTCTGATTTTGTTGAATAAAATTGCTGGGAGTACTTAGATGGAAATTAACTATAAACTTAGTATAGGTTGAGTATCTCTTATCCAAAATGCTTGGGACCAGAAGTGTTTTGGATTTTGGATGTTTTTTGGGTTTTGGAATATTTGAGATATATTAGTTGAACGTCCCTCATCTGAAAATCCAACATCCAAAAAGCTCCAATGAGTATCTTCTTTGAGTGTCATATTGGTGATCAAAAAGTTTCAGATTTTAGAGCATTTTGGATTTTTATAACTGGGACGCTCAACCTGTAGTACAAAAATTACATTTATTACTCACTCAATGGACTTAAGGGGGTCTGGGCTGCTAGGGCTTTTCTATAGAAACCTTTCATTTATCTTTTTCTTTTGTATTTAGAGTAAACAGTTTCTTCTCAGCTTAACTACTGTTACAAACCTAGAACTTAGGAACATTTTACAAGTATGGGAAAAGAAACCTTTAAAAAATGTCAATATAGAAAAACTTAATTTCCAGAAAAATAGATGAGGATATAATATGGAAGGTGGGCATACTGATAATCCAATTTAAAGAAAAGATTTTTGATACATAGAAGGACTCACTGCTGTTTTTATCTCTTTAGCAACCTCTTCTACCTCATTGGAAATAAGTAGGTTTGATATTTTGAAAGTTAAATGCTCAGCATTTCAGAATATACATGTTACACAAGGACAGAAATCCTTGCCTACTCTTTCTGGAAAATATATCTATGGCATATAATAAATTCTGCAAGGATATTCCAGGCTGATGTTTATGGCAGGTGTAACCTACAGTTTGAATAGCCTTAATGTAGGGCCGTACTCTTTCATTACTGAAAGCCTTTTCCTTAATTCTCTTTTAGTGTATATTATGAAAATATTACATAGACATTTAGAAAAGAATATCATACGTTGAAAAGATATTTATTGCTTTGAGGCAAGATTTTTAAAAAATAAATTACATTGTATTACAGAATATCAGTAGGAGTAAGAGTAAG